ACGGTGTAAATCTCAGGCTAGGAGACACGGTAACGTCATCCCCACCTTCAGCAAAAACAAACACTCAGGGGGATCAAATCCTTTTCTTTAAACCTTTGCTGTGTTTTCATTAGTACTGCTCCTCACTCATTATACTTACTGCAACTGCAGAAAAGAATACTGGAACTGTTTTGCAACAAGATTATTAAGTAGCATTTACCAGACTCAGGACCTGGAACATTTCTTTGAATTGCAGGGAGTTCACAGAAGCTTGCCATTTTACTATTTTCTAAAGGCAACTTGAATATTTGCACTTAATTTCAGCTTGAACACCATGAAGTAGGTCTGAGCAGTAGGTATGTGTGCCTGAGCCAATTTTTGTTCAGTATTTCTTGTATCTTGCAGCAGTGAGAATTTGCAGCAGAGGCAGGCTCAGCTATACGCACTCAGTAATTTTTGCACTTGCGACCAGAGACACAATAACATCTTTTCACAGAAGAGAAGGACTGTACATTTTAAAATAGAGAGGTTTATTTTATAGTCTTTTTCATGGTGTTCTGCCTCTTTGATTCCAAATTCTTGGTTCAATAGCATACTGAAAGATAGAGTTCATTACAAAACAATCTGAAAGAGCGTATTTGATGGCTTACGTAGCAACACAGATCTAGTTTCAACAACACCAAAACAGAAGCCAATACAAGATGTGAAAAAAATTGACTTGTCTATGAATTCGTGGCCTTTCATGGTACAGAAATAAGACTTTTAAAGTTAAATTAGGTTCATAACTTTTATAGGCAGAAAACCATTAGTGATGCTACAAGGAACTGAAAGAATAAACAGAGATAATGGCCTTGTGTTAAAAGTACGTTTGAAATAGTCTTGGCATTTTGCAGCTCTTCTTTGAGATATTTAAGAAAAGTGAATAAGCTTTTTCCAGTTCTTGAAAGGGTGAGTCATTTATAACAGTAGCACAATCTACATATTTTTTTCTCATTTCTCCTCATAATTATGTCTCCCGACTTCAGAATCTGACTGATGCTGCCCTCACTTATAACATGTGGCAGACAGTTCTGCCAGAGTAAGACAAGTTTGTGTTATGAAGAGAAATTTTCATCAAAATAATTTCACTTGCAATCACTTCAAATCTAGTTTTAACAATCCTGAGGGATTCAGATAAAATACAGTTCTGTTAACTAGTAGCATCACCAAATCTTTATAAGACCATTTTTATTATATTAAGTTTTCAGTAAGCCCTTCTTTGTCCTCTGCTGAAACTACATGTTTAATTTAGTGGGTTTATTGAGACTAAAATGTTCTCTTCCTTACTAGATCTTTTTTAAAGGTCTTCATGGCCTATTTGATTAATTATAATTATCCATAAATCATCACTGGTGAAAAACAAGCCATGAAGCCTCAGCTGCCACTGAGAATTCAGTTTTACATAATAAAGACTAAAAAAAGCATTTCACAATGCTTGCCATCCCACTCTGGGTGTCCAATAGGAGTCACAAAGGGGCAGAATCTCCTTTCACCTCCACTGGTGTAAATTTGAAGCAACTTAGTGAGCGTTGGTAAGGCTACCACAAAGGAAAGGTGATGCCACTAAAGGGAGAGTCAAACTCCAGGGAACAAACTCTATCTCACTCATGTTTGTAACATTCACCTGCCCATGAAAAGTACAGGTAGAAGGCTTTTTTCTCAGGCAGCTTTAAAGGGAGGCCAGATCCCCACTTATAATAGCCATATTAGGGAGGAGACAATGGTTAGGGGCACTTTCCAGTTCCTTTTCCTCTTCTCTGTGCTGAGCCCAGTGGCAGCATCCCCACGGCTGCTCTCTGCCAGGGTGCGTGTGTGGCATTCAGAGCAGAATTTGTCCCTCAGGATGCAAAATCTGCAGCATTTTTAAAACTTCTTGCTTTTGTTAGTCTACTCTTTGTCTACCTGCACATAGCCTCAGTTTGTTCTCAATACTTTTACAGCCTGAAATCAGCATCTTTGTTCATATCTTGATTAAAAAAAACAAAACAAAAAAAAAACCTACAGGCAAGCAAGACGAGTTGTGGGTTTGGTTTTTTTTTAATCACTTTTTAGGTGATTGATATCTATGCTATTTTTCATCTGTCAAAAAGTCTCCAGGTAATAGGTTAGTCACATAATAGAATATCTATTGATATATTTTAATACACAGTCAAACCTTAGAGAAGAGTTGTGATTTTCTGGCCAACATTTCTGAACTTGTATTGACTAAACAGACAGTTATTTTTTAATAGCTATCATGTGTGCTTTTC